GGCTCATCATGCTATTCTTAGCAAATGAAGCAGCTTAGTAGACATAAGAAGAAAGAAAGCTCTCAATGTGATAAAAGTGAAATATTGAGCATGACACAAACAATATTTCTTCTTGATTAATTAGTGTCCAACAAAGTGATGAACTAATTATGAGTCAAGGTGTAACCATATGGGCTCAGATCAACTCCCTTAATGTTAACACTCCTTCGTAATGTATCAAGTTACAGATTTACTTCTTATATACTGTACATCAAACACACAGGGAGAGCACACCAACAGGATGTTTCTAAAGCTAAAATATTTGAAAGTCCATTCAAATGGCTAATTTATATCTGAAATAAAGGGTGGTGAAAAGAACATGGGGCACGTTTTCTAATAAAGTAAATGCGTTCAGTTGGTTAGGTATCTGGTATACAGTAAATATGTTTTGCTGAGTTAATACTTATTGTAAACACACACACATAAATAAAACAAACAAGAACATATCACAGGGTCCATTTAAATCTAAAACGGTCCTGCGCCATGATTCTGATACAGTGTACAGATATGTACACCTGGATCTGAAACGCAATTCAGAATACAAAGCTGATTTTGCATTTCATTAATTAGCAAAAAATTAACATCTCAACATGGCCTCAAAGTCCATCATGCCAAAATGAAATACTAGGAGTGGGCTAAAGACATGCAGTGCACATTTCTTGAACCTTGTGTGACAGAGGAAGAGCCTGGCCAGAAGGCATCCCATACTGCCCAGTGTGTCCATGCAGCAGAGTTTCCCAACCCCCGTAGACTAGTTAAAAAAAACAACAACAGATTGAGTGGACCCCAGCAAGCCACTGTAATTCGAATGGCTGTAATTAGACAAAGATGTGAACATCATATATCAAGAGACAGCTATAGGAGATGTAGACAGTTGACTCTGAACAATGACTGCTATCATTGTCAGCTATGCCTCCAAATAGTTTGGCTCAGAAAGGCAACACCAAGCCCACACAGTGAGTCGTAGGGCCACAGAAATATATAAACTAAGGCAAGAGCTTTAAAACCTCAAGAGGCAATGTAAAGCATTCACTGGAGAGGAGAAACAAGCTTTAGCCAAATTTCAAAACATCTTAAGAAAAGGCTTATGACCTTCTGCAGGGCAGAGTGGCTTGGGAGAACAGAAAGCGACCCCTTCATCAACATCGCTATTGCTGGAGCCATGACCAGGTGCTCAAGACAGTTACTGAGAACATTTCCAAAGCTATTAGCACTAGTAAATGCAATCTTACCCCAAAAAGGGCCATCACATTTGCTAAAGCTAGAAAGAAACCTCTTCAGACCCGTTGATTTGGGCAAGCAGCAGTTTCCTGAACATATTACACTGACATCACTTCAGCCAGACATCATAATCATCTTTGATGCTACCAAACAACTGATCATGTTCCAGACCTGAGGAAGCAAGGTCACATAACTGATGGTGCATCTAAAGGATGTATCTTACACAACATGTTTTATCAAAGACCTCAAAGTTTTCTAATGTTAACCTCTGCTACACATACTGAAACTTGTAGACCGTGCTATTGCTACCAACAAACATGAAGCTGGGCCTGTGTTTTCATACAGCATATGTTTGACACTGTGGGAGAATAATGAAGCTATACACAAAATACTATTTATGTCAGAGAAAACTATGTCATTCTTCACGGTCACAGTGTATTGCCCATTTTTGTACTGTCCTTAGCCTCTCTCCTTTTATTTGTGTTGGGAAAATAGCAACCCAAGAAAATGATTTCCCTTTCACTGTGCGCCTTAGGTAAAATGATAAAGTTGAGGCTAACAGCATAAAATATTACTAGTTTGAGCAAAGCATCCAGTACGAGTAGTTGTCACAGACTTTGTCAAGCCTCAGCGACAGAACCCATCACGCACAGGCATGCAATCAAACAGCAACCCTGTAAAGAGCATCTAATAGGATAAAATCTCAATGACAATAATGATGTCAATAAAAGCTACGCCAGTGATTAGGGAAACCACATGCTGAAACCTGATGAGCAAACTAGAGCTACAAGGTGAGTTTGTATGGTCATAAAACAACATTATTTGCTCAGTGTCTGCACCACTGTGTGATTTCCTGCATTACCTTCCAGGAGAAATGAGTCGCACAGATAAAACCTGAGAGCAAATAGGACTTTATGTACAGTAGAGGGAGAGGAGAAAAGGGGAGCTGTGGCTAGGTGCATTAACATACAGATAGAATAGGTAAAGAGTTTTAATGTACTCAGGAGGCTGGGGGAATGGGGAGGTAAAGTGAGAGGTGGGGAAGAAAAAAGGGATGAGGAGGAGGAGAGAGAAAGACAATCAGCAAGCTGGTGCCACAAAGGCAGGCATCCATGACCTTATATCTCAGTTCATCATGGGCAGAGGAAGAAATGAAAGGCCTACAGGAGAACAAAAATATAAGAGAGGTTGAGGGGAAGAAGGAGTCACAAAAGGCAGAGAGTACAGTGAAAATTTGAAAAAGAGCACAATGAATACGACCAAAGTGGGGCAGAGTATGAATGTGAAGGAGAGTGACAAAAATGTAACACTGATAGGAGCAGTGCAGGAAATGCCACCCATGTGATCAACAATGACCTAAAAGCATTTAAAAACCAAAAAGAAATTAAAGCAGTGTGTGTGGTTGAAAAAAGAAACACATGCTATGCACTATCTAGACAGTAATACTGCTCAGGTGTTAAATGTCATTCTTGAGGCTTACGTCTCAGTTAAACCCACCCTCAGCCGGCCCGCCAAGTTTTGTCATACTTTGGTTTTATTTGTACACCATAAAAAAAGCAATAAGCAATAAAGAAAATACCTATGAGAAATTGTTAACTTTGCTAAGAAAATATAGGAAAGAATGGGCTCTGTTTATTTATATTAAATCTCATAAAGGTGCCCTGTGGAATTTTGTTATCAACAAAGTTTCTGTTAAGATGAAGTGTTATTCACCAAAATGTACAAATCTGTTGAACACAACAATAGCAAAGACACGTTTAAATAATCTGAGTCCAGCATTGTTTAATTCATCGTTTCTCTTTTCTAATGCTGCATTACTTGGTCCATTACACAATATAAATAAAACTGGGACTCACTCATAAAAATATTGCTCATTAGTAATACTAGTGGTCACAAACTTCACAAGGTACCTTTAAATCCTTTATGTGTATTGCTGAGCAAAACCTAAAATGGTGCTTGCAGTCTTCTTTTTTTTTATTAATTCAATCAATAGCTCCAGTTCACAGGACACACTGACATGTTTGTGACTTAAAAAACCTCTGAGAAAACATGTACAGTACAGAATTGTCTGTAAAATAACTAAATGAGTGTTCAATTTCCTGATTTCTTTCAGTCTGCAGGCTGCTCACATTGATATGTGATGAAACATGTTGAACTTTTAGGGTTGTTTTTTTTTGATCAGAACATTGATTTGTAATGTCAAAGTATTATATGGAGGACATCTTGTTTGTCTCAGTGGCATTAAAGAAATTAATATTTAGTACAGCATGACATATAGTGTAGTTATATATAACAAATATTACACCACTGATAACTGAGGTCCTGGATCAAATGTGTTTAATATATTGGGATATCGACTGATTTCTCAATTAAACTAAACTCTTCTCCACTATAGCAGTTATGCACACACTTTTAGAGACAGTTATTAACAAAGGTGTCTCTCAACACAAAAAATGGAAGTTCAAATAAAGATAAGTAAATTACAAAGCACTACAAAAACAACAAGCTGAACTTCTTCAAAAGTAGTAGTACATGGTCTCTCTCTAGAGACAACCACTTTACTTTGGAGGCAAGAAGTCCAGATGAGTGTCTAGACAGCATTTTTCTTAACTCCTCTTTTCTGGTGTGAGACTGAGAACATACAATCTGTTAGCAGTTCTGCATTTCCACCCTCTGGCCCTCCATCCCCACAACACAAACCCTCTCCCCTCCCTCTCTCTGTGGACACAGGAACCAGTGTGTTTTAAACTTCTTAAAAGGCAGTTTGTGCACACTTCTGTGCTTATATTAGAACAGCAAAAACCATTAAGTCCACACTGGAAGGGAGAAATGTGGTTTTGCTAGCAAACACAGGAAGAGCTAGAACTTAGTGGAGCCTACTCTTTAAATACTACACCTAAATACATTTGCTAGATGAGCAAAGGACAGTGGATGGCATTGTCCCATTAAAAGATCCTGTAACACTAATTTATTCCTGATGCAATGGATGGTTGAACAAGTTCCATCTCATTCAATTAGAAATGTTAATATTTCAGTCAGGACATATAAGCAACACTATGTCAGACGCTTGAGTGATCAGCAGTACTGTATTGTGCAAGTTAAATGACCTACAGTGTAAAGAAAAAGGTGACGTATAATATATAGCGAAACTGACCTAGTGATTTATATTCATGAATAAAATAATTGGCGTAAGACATGAAGTCAGTAAAATGTTAAAATGATAAGTCTATATGGTGTTACTGTTAAATCTACAAAGAAAGGCAGACATTCATACAAACACAGTTAAAAATAATTTCCCTTTGTCCATTGCCCAAATTTTCATTGGGTTACAAAAGTTTACTTTGTGACCTAGATTTATTTCACTCTTTTACAGCAGTAAGGCCTAATTCATTCAAGTTAGATCCAATGCAGTAAACTCAACAAATTATCGCTGAAGTAGGTCTCAATCCTACCTCAAGGTTTCTAGCTGACCTCTGTCTGACATCTTTCATTGGTAGCAAAGAGTTCATTACTCTAATTTCCACACAGCAACGCTAACTCCAAGGCCCCTTGACCCAAAACACCTCAAATCACGGCAAAAAACAAAACAAAACAAACAAAAAAAATAACCATTTTCCAAAAGCTACAGATAATAAAATTATGTTTTATACATTTTTGTTGGAATGTCTGAATATGATCACCCTCAGCAATTCAGTATTGATATTTTGGAGCCATGTAATGGAAAACTTGGTTCAACTTACCATGAGGTTGTTAGGGGCAGGCCTCTCTTTGGGTTGTCGTCGCATGCTGTACAAAAGAGACAAGCAACCACAACTCAAACAAGTGTGCAAGATGCCTTTTTGTTCAAATTTAATTTCAACTGCATAATTTTCCTTTTAAAAAAGAATATTTAAGAGAAGACTTGCAATGGAAATACAAAGAGACACCTTCACTGACAATTATGCCAAACTAAATAATTTAATTAATATTTCTAAATGAAATGAATATAAAATTAAATTAATATTTCTTTTTACTCGGAAAACCTCAGTGAGCATCCTCCATAGTGTGAATTCATGCTGTATACAACAAAACTGTGTATACCCCTGGTCAATATCACTGTAAGGTTAAATTACTCAAAACGGTTTCATCTCACAATCAAGAATTACTTAATTTCCAAATTAAAACAATAAAATCTCACTATTGTAGGGTGTACTGACGCTTGTTGCAGTTGGTTTTTAAGTATGAACCTTTCACTATAGTTTAATTAGTAAAACATCCTCTTCTTTAAATTAACTGGCTTAATTCCTTTTAGGCTTTATCTAAAAACAAATTAAAAAAAACATATTAGAGAATGTGCATTTATTTAATATTTTAATATAACTGACCAGGGATGTACTCACCTTTATTGCATAGTGTATATGATCTTTCAAAATGACCTACATTGGAGACGCTCAAGAATTATTCATGTAATTGGTTTATGTATCAAAATGAATGGGCTATGTCTAGGAATAGCCTGGGAGAAGACGGTGCCAGCCCTGCACCAAGGCTGGGCAGGGCACATTAGCTTGTCCTGAGAGAGAGGTGCTGTGTTTGAGTAAACAAAGCAGACACGAGAATAAACAACAGCTGGTACATCCAGCTAGTGGGTTTGCATACATGCACTAACCACATGTGGTTTGGGAGTAAATGTAGATGTTTGTGCAAATGTAAAGGTTATAAGAAGATAATGAATCAAGGCAAACTGAGCAAACACTGTCTTTGTGCCATGGCATTAGATATATCAGTCACTCCTTATAAATAAGCACTGCTTTTTATTCAAGCAGTATTGATCATCATAGCTAAAACCATTACAACCACAAAGCATGAACACACACAGACACACTCACTTTAATCCTATTGTATACCATTATAGCTTTGATTCATCTACAACAATTTGGCTCATCTATGTCAAAGGCAGTTTCTGGCTGCTGTAATTGTTCAGTCTGGGTCTGCGGGGCTCAGCTGGTTGACCATGCCAAAGATATTAAGTGAGTACAAACTAGAATCACAAACAAATGCACTACACAAATCAACGGCAAATGAAAACAGACAGAATCCCATTTAAAATCTGATGTGTTAATTACATTTTTTCTGGTGTCTGCATTAAGGAGAAACAGTAACTTACTCACCACTGAGTGATGAAGTGAACAAACTTCTCACTGAACTGGCCGACAGGAAGGACCGGAGGATCCTGTAAAGAGGACCAAAACAATTTTGATAGCAAGTGACATTTTAATCTGGGATCTGAAAAGTCTCTGCAGTGACTCAATAGCATATAAATACAATACGAGTAGTTTACATTAACAGGGATTTATTAATCTGACAAAATAGGGTTAGTCATAGTTTAGATAAACTTGAAATCATTAAATCTGATTTAATCTTAATTCTGTGTTGCACAATTTAATTAAACCAAATTAGGAAAATGTTTATAAATAATTGAAACCAAAGCTGAAAATTGGAGTAAACTACCATAAAATACTGGCCAAAATGAGAGCTCCATCAAAATCTCACAAATATAATCATCATGCTGACATTCTTGACCAGTTACATTTTAAGAGTTAGTTAGACTGACTTTGGACCATCTGAGATGAAAGCTGAGAATTGTGGCAGATACGTGGTAAAATCTCTGCCCAAACTATAACTGAGAGCGTGGTCCTAAATCACACTATGAAGACAGATCCACTGAAGGCTGATTCAGAGCTTTGGTGACAACAGACACCCCGTAGCAAAGGTCTGGCAGTGTCAGACGTTTAGGACCAAAGCCTCACTGTGCAACTGTTGTTATGACCCACATCATAACCAATGAAAATTCAGTATTACCAAAACAAACACATTAGCTTTAAATGCTAAAGCATCCAGAAAAATACTTCGCATCGAACCCAAATTTGAGTCCTGTGTCTGCTTTAAACACTCCCCATCTCACAAAGCTCTTTGTCCCACTGTCTCTGTGCAAAAGAACGTGACCTCTTCGGTCTAGCAGCCACCGTTTTGGACTTTGAGCTGCCGAGAGGTCCTTTGTGGCTGGGTTTTTCAAATGACCATTTGCGGTTGGAAGGACATTACTTATTGCCTTCACCGGGTGGCAAGTGGAGCTAGTATATGTATGGTATTCCAATAACACAAAAGCTGCCCATTTTCCCTTGATTTATCAGACAATGTATAAAACTCTTAGTTAACACAACTTTAAGAATTAAAACCAATTTGCTTAAAATTAGATTAGGGCTTTGTTGCAGCAGAGATAATGTTAAAAAATAATGTAATCTAGGTTTCCAGGTTAGGTCATTTTTGTCAGATAGAAAAACACACAAGTTGAAATACAATACACGAGAACCACCAAATTGTTATAGCTAACATCTTGGCTAACAGCTGCCCTCCAGAATTCCATTACAATAAAGCCGCACAGTGGGAGAAGTTGGTGCCTGAAGTTTCAGTTCTGCCTGAAAAATACAGCATGCATTTTTCATCAAGCTTTAGTGCATATTCAAAAGAGAACATAAACTGTACACTAACAGAATAAGCTCAAGTGCAACATTAAGTAATTTATATGGCTTTAAACAAGTACTGATACAACATATGTTCTGCAACATTGAGAGCCTGGATTCAGTGAGGTTGAGAGTTAAGTACCTTTCTTGTATGAAGACTTTAGTGTGTGACCTCAAGGCTACATGCTGTAGCCTTTTTTTATTTTTTTGTATTCGTGGCAGCACTGAGGGGTGACTGGCAGCCAAGTTAATGTACAACAACTGCTGGGTGACAGCATTCATTCTTACTGGGTCAACCAATCAACAAATCCGGCAATACAAAAGACCAAAGTGCAAATGTAAAAGAAACACTGTATATTAAAGTGGTCTTGACTGTCATGGGTGAAAGAATGTGACAAACATGAAATAACAATTCAGGACAGCACTACAGGGCACAATTAGTATGTAATTGTTAATATAAATACCAATTCCTATGATTAATTTGTATGCAGAAAAAAGTTGAAGGTCCTCTTTCTTTTTGACTTAGTCCAGAATAGACAGTTGACTAAAAAAAGCAAATCTAAGAAGGAAAAAACACAACCTGTTTATACAATTACCGTAATAAATAATTTACAACAACTGGAAATAGAACATAAAGCAAATCAAGGCAAAAATAGGCCGAGGTGTTGACAGACCCCGTCAGAAATTTTGTTTGTTAAAAACAGAAACTGCTAAACAATGACTGATGTTCATGCATAACGTACATATGGCTCTGAACCTTCTTTTGATACCTTTCACACTACTTCACTCATTAAAAGTCAGAGCAAAAGAGGAAAATTATTAGGGATATTATATACAAATGAAAATACATTTCTGTAGAGACCAAGTAGTAAACTGAAAATAATGTTTCCACTGATAACAAATATTCATGCCTATACATCACAATGGCTGGTACACAGACAATCCACAAAGGGCCATTAAAAAAAGAAATTAAAGAAGTGCTCTTTAGTTTGTTAGCAGCGCATGCACCGCTGTTGCTCTGAATGTCCTCTAAAACAAGCTTTTATTAATAAACACAATACCACTTTTAAACTAGAAACTACAGCTACACTGTAAAAAAGAGGAATAATATTACAACTGGTTTGGTTGTTTGTCCTGTTCACCTGTACTAACTTGAAATAGTGTTTTCATGCTGGATACTGTAGCAGCCCTACAATATAAACCAAAAATGTATTTCAAAAACTATAGTCTGACATTTTAGAAACATTTGCTTTTTCCTGACAGAAATAATAAATAGTGCAGCCCAAAACCCCCAGTAAAATGAATGCCACTTTTGGCTTTTTCCTGTTTAGGGGTTGCCACAGTGAATTGTCACACTGACGATTCGCATGTTGGCACGTGTTTTACACCAGATGCCCTTCCTGATGCAACCCTGACTCGAACCCGGGACGCAGCAGCAGGAGCGCCTGCACCCTAACTAACTAGTCTATCAGGGAACCCTGTTTTGTAGAATAATCATACTAATTCATTTAACATGAAAGGTTGCACAAAGTACAGTGCTAAGAATAAACTTTATGTTCAAAGAAGTGTCTGACGCATTAAAATACTACCACATTGAAGAGATACCTGAGGATGCACGCAAAGATGTTATAAGGTATGTTAAAACACAGACCACATTTCTGAATGCTAGTGATTTATATATGGGACCTTCCCTTGATTATTCTTCCATTTTTTATCATTGTGGCTTCTTACTTTGCGGGATGGTGTGAGAAAATCCTTTAGCAGTCAGACGGTGTTTTCTCTATTATTGCAAGTTTTTACTCTGATCTTCTGACTTTTTGTTTGGACTTGGCTGTAATGAGCTAGGAAGGAGCCACAGTATCAACACATTGGAGCTCACTGTGGGTGTGATAAACAAGAAAGGTTTTCTTCTTTACATCTAAAAAATGATTGATGCTAATTAGGCTGCAGCAGAACATACACCCTTTTAGCACGTTTGAAAAAGCAACATTTTTAATTATACAACAGCAATCATACATTATTACTCTAGTTTTCAGTGTTCAAACTGGAGCAAAATGTACCTAGGTTCCTTTAATTAATTAACAAAAGACCAAACCGGACTTAAAGAACGAGAGGTGTTATTCAAATGCGACTAAAACTAACAGGGACATTTCATCTTGGCAGACAGAGAAATCTGAAAACTGTGACAAATTGAACAACACCAAGGTGTGTGTGTGTCAGGCTTGCTACATGTTGTCAGCGGAGGATCTATGAACTGTGTCATGTAGAACAGCTGTGCCAGACTGACCCTCTATTAATGCCCCTCACCTCATTACTCTATCTCACTC